AGGCAGACAGTGACCTCACCTCTGAGGAGCCAGGAAAACACTGGCTAACAGAGGATCACTAGCAATTATAAGATGGAGGCACCTGAAACCTAGTAATCCCTCTTAACTTGTAGCACCTTTAGAATAGTCTTTTAGTTTCCTAGTTAAGAGTGTTAAAAGGTATTCTACTGTTTGAAATGGACAAGGGTAATACCCCAAGTGCTGGTTGTGACGGTAGTAGTAGTTGGCTTGATTTGCCACCTTACTTCCCAGTTATTCCCACCAACTCCATGCCAGCCTTAGACTGTGGTCCAGGCTCTTTCTTGCAAGCGGGTGGAGCTGGGGTGAACTGGTGTTATTGTCATGGCCATGTTCCTTAGACCTCGGGGTCTCAAACTACTCAAGGGGAGGACTGAGAAGAGATAGAAAAGGAATAGAGAGGTTGTAGACATGAGGGATCCCTTCAGCCAGGTAAAAGAAATTAATTTATGCGTTAATATGAAAGATCATATCATTTTGTCACTTACTATGGAAGGACTAGTGTCCATAGTTAAGTGAAGGTGTATCCAAAATGCTAGTAACAACGATCAACTTTGTATAATGTAATTTCAGAGGCTCATCTCAAGGAAACATACACTAAGCTACTACAATGTGGAATAATCTTTCAGATTTATCTAGCAGATATTCATTACATTGAGAAAACATTTTGACTTTCAAGCCACAGACACACTGGGGGACCCATGAGAATCAATATAAAGAAACAAACTGCACAGAAGTTAATGACTGGGTCCATTGACAGCCTTAATTCAAGTTCAAATGAACTTTAAGCAGAGTTTTTACAAACATCATATGGCCCAACCTTCCCCATAAAATATACTAGATCACCTGGAGGTAGCCAAACTACATAAGTTCATACTAGAATGTCAATAATTAGCTAAAATGTGTGTTATAAAAGTTCTGTTTATAACACATCTTAAACAAGACAGAGTTGGGTACATATCATTTAAGTTGATGTTTTATATGCTTTTGAAGGTCAGCTTTACCAAATGCTGCATATAGTTGTTAACACTTTTATGGGTAAGAAGACTATTCCTGAATCATGGATAATTTCTCAAATATTCTAATTCCCAAACCCAATAAAAATCCAGAAGATACTGATGCCTATAGACAAATATATCAGCTAAATCAAGATTATGCCGTTTTTGCTAACATACTGGCAAATAGTTTGAAGATGTGGACTCCAAACTACATACAATAGGATCAATTTGGTTTTACACAAAAAAAGAAATGTAATAGACCCTATCTGTACATTGTCAATACACTATTCAAAATAGAAAAGTAGGGGCTTTTGTTGTGTCTTTTGACACTTCCAAGGCATTTGACAAATTGGACTGGAGCTTCTTAATAGCAACCTCTAAACAATTATATAGCACACATGGGTTGTTACTCAGGACTAAGTAAGAACTTAGTTACTCAGGAGTAAGTCTGGTGTTAGATTCCCAAAATACAGAAAATACAAAGAGGCACAAAACAAGGGTGGTTCAGTGTCCCACTTCTTAGGCTTCTTAGTAGAATTGCTGGCAAATTGCATTAGATAGGCAGAAAATCTGAAGGACACAACAATAAATGGACAGAAAAACCAACTCAACATGTATGTAGGTGATTTTGAATTTACTTTAGCCTGCCCAGAACAAGATTTGAAAAAGATATTTATCCTCAATCCATGCTCTGCTTTCCAGAAAAATTATATTAAAACCAGTTAATTTAAATGTGGAGGAAATTAACTAGAAAGCCTATCCAAAATAACACAATCATCAATGATAAAATATCTAGGAATACACTTATCCAGAGACAGTGTTGAGTATTGATCTGGGGATCTGGGAGAACCAGGTTCAAACCACTATGCAATGATTAAGCTCACTGGGTGATTTGGGGCCCATCACTCACTCTCAGCCTAACCTATCTCACAGGGTTGTTGTTGTGAGGAGAACATGGAGCTGTGTAAGCCACCATGAGATCTTCACAAGAAGAAAAAATGCAGGATATAATGAAATGTAATAGTAAAATGGTAGGAGTAATTTACATAAGCTCACTAGACGTAATTTCCAAGTGGTTTACAATCAAATAGTAAAAACTCAGAAATTGGTTCAAAGTGATGAAGCTAACTGGGTTAAGTTGCAGAGAAATCACAGCAAAGAAAATGTTTATTTTATTTCAGGTATTGCATGCTAGTTTACTGATCGAGTTATTATTTTTAGATGACAGCAAATTGTTTAGATAAACAACAATTTTATTGTTTAGATGACAGCAGTCACTAAACAATTTTACTCACTCAACAAACAAATCTTAGAGGTAGTAGAAAGGGGCTTACCACATTTAGAGCTTTATTACACAGCATATCAAGTTAGACGGATTTCACTGGGGAGAGAACATGGCTAAACGTGGGCAAGAGTCAGCTGCCTAGAGGAAAGCCAGAGCCCTACCATTTGTATGGAGCAAAGCTGGTAAAACAGACCTGATACCCATTGGTATCAAACCTGATATCCTCATCACCCTGATGACGCCACAGCACAGGTAACAAACCTGTCATGTTGTGGAAACCTGGACTGCTTCCCAAGGTGTGACTTGTTTATGAGCAACAAGGCACTCTGCAAACCTATCGCTTATCTTAGGCTTTGTCACACCCATGAAGTGTCATCCAAACATGAGTGAGTGACCCTATTGTGGGTACAGGAAAGGAGTTAGCAGTTTGCTTATGAGCAGCAGAAATCCCTGGTCATGTTTGCCCCTGACACTGCGAGTGACAGGAACCCCACTGATCCCAAGCAGTTCACTGGAGCAGTTCTCACTGACTTGGTGTCCCCTACCATGATTTCAAGCCCCTTTTCACTCCCCATGGTTTCTTGCCCCTTTCCTCCACCCCACTTTGTTGGTATTAAAAAAAAAAAAAAAAATCACACTTGCACAAATGAGGGAAATTCAAAATGACCAATAAATAGTCTTGGAGAACCTGGTTGTGTGCCCTGCAGATGATTTCTACAATATCTCTTTAACATAAGCAGAGTTCTGAGGGAGATAAAGTAGGAGAATCTGTCTGGGATGTGTTGAGTTGTAACTTGAGATGTGTCCGCTGTCTGGCCATGTTCTTTGTTCAGAAATCTTTCCAGAAATGGAGGTAGTAAATTAATTACAGTCAAAGTACTGTTAGACCCCATTAAAATTAGCCAGAGTCAGGGTCTTTTAAATGGGAATTATTCAAACACAGCTCTGTCTTTTATCTGTAGTTTCAAGTCCATTATGAGCCTTGAACTGAGAACAGCAAATTGCATTTCAAAACAGGCAGCTCCCATAAATGGGACAGCTTGTACTTTTCCAACTAGGCTCTGATTTTTTTCATAATACAATGAAATATATCACATATTATATAAATACACAAAGAAAGAGAAAATACAATGCTATATATTTTATATATTATATATAATATAATGAAAGTACAATTTGGAAAAAACATATGGAACTATTGTCTGGGTTTAGTTAGCACATGTGAAATGGAATGCTATTTAGACCAAAATGTAAATTTATTTCATAAGAGAAGGAATAAGGAGACTGCACAGGTGGTATCTCACCCCTCAGAAGGTGAGTGCCATGTATAAAAATACCTTCACTGTATGTTGAAGGCAGAGTTCAGAGATAGATAGGGCCTTACCTATATTTGTAGCAGACATGTGCCCAGATGCATCCAAGTTCTTTAAAGAGCCAGACTGTTGCACAGTCTCCAGTACTGGAGTTTATAAATTTGTACACCGGTGTGGGGAAAACCCTTCACTATAAAGAAATGTTAACATCTTCTGGAGTTGTAGCTACTCGTTTAATAGAAACTTTGGCTTATTGGAAATCAGAGGCTAAAATGCAAAATAAGGGCAAAATCCCACTAATCATGCTTTCATTCCCATTGTTTTGTATGTGACAATAAACTACTGATCTCTTGAGACCCAAGAATGGTTACTATTACATAGAATATATCTATGGCAATTAGTTGAGAGTGATATTAGTATTTTCTATCATAATGAATGATCTAATCTATCATTATTAATATTACTTGATCCCCAAAGTCAAATATTTTCACCTATGATTTTTATAGTAAAAAGGAAGCATGGACCATATGCCTGATTCAAATCATTGATTTGTTTTGTAAAAGTTGCAAAGTGTAAATTTCAAAATGGTTTGCATTCAATCAAACTGCTAAAAAGAGAAACAATGCTTGCTTGATTTTTAAATGAAGTTTTTATTTTCTTAACATAAACAAATGCAGAAAAAAAGAAACACATATGAAACAAGCAAACTGAAATGAACATTGCCAAGGGAATTTTACACAAATACAACCAATACTTTCAAAACTTTCAACCTCCCAAATTTATCTGTCTTTCTAACTTTCAACCCTCTATGGAAGTTTAGCAAAAGGAAATCATTGATCTAAACAACAACAAATCTTCCAATTGCTTCAAATGCTCTACTGCTTTTTTGTTCTATCCAAATTCCCTTCAAAGCCCATTAATCATGCTAGTAATATTTCCATTTGTCATTAAATTCTTCTAACGGTCTTCTATTTACATAAATAGTAAAGTTTGCCATCACTGCACATTTTGCTAGCCTATTTCTCCATTCTTCAATTGTTGGGGGCTCTGATGATTTCCATTTAGAAGCAGTTGTGATTCTTGCTGAAGTTGTCATTTATTTAAATAGCTCTGTCACGTTATTTGAAAAGATCCCTGGCTTTATATTCAAAAGCATATTCTTGGGGCTCATAGGAAACTTAATTTTAAAGATCTTTTGTATTTCTGCCTGCATCAATTTCCACAATTTTTTCATTATATCACAAGTGCACCACATATGATAGAAAGTCCCATCCACTTTGTTGCATTTCCATTGTCAATTATCTTTTTTTTTTTTCAATATCTTTCGGAGTAATGTACCTCCAATAAAACACTGTATACCAAATTTCTCTTAAAGTTTGACTAACAATGCTTGGTTCTTTGGTTTCAAACAGTATGGAACAAACCACCAAAATACTGCTGTCTCTCACTCCTGCTGAAGTTGCTGTTCTCAAGGAAGGAATCAATTTTCTAAGAAACAAAACAGATGGAACAAGTTACATCTTGTACAAGAATGCAGATACACTACGAGCATGTCGGAACATGTGCAAACACCAAGGAGGGTTGTTTATTAAGGATATTGAAGATCTGACAAAAACGTAAGGCGGGATTCATGCCCCATTTCCAGCTTGGTTCTTTTCCTATCTTACTGCAGCAAATGTAAACAGTGGTGAAAAGGCAGGTAGAACATTCTGTTTGGGGAGCTGAATGTTTGAGCTGCTTTATTGCATTTGAAGCTTTCTCTGAGAATGAGGCTCAAGACCTGAGTCTAGTCTTGGTGGCAAAATTCAGCCTTGGAGAATGAAAAATAGCCAGTTGCCCTTAAGCCCAAGGAGGAAGTGAAGGTGTCGTCTGTAAGGAATCAACTGTGAGTGCAGACAAAATGGGTTTTGCTGTGATGGTCAGAAACCAGACCCCAATTCCACAAAGAACAAGGAACCCCCTTGCCCAAGCTCCCTTAGCACCACACAATTCCATAGTCTGGTTGAAGGCAGGGAAATGTCTGCTTATAAAGTAGAGATGCATCAATTAAGCCAGTATATTTAGATGCATATGGTTAGGGGTTATTAAAATATTGATGCAATATTGTTCTAAAACCCTTCCTTCAGCTCAGGTTTGAGAATCATATTATTAGTTTGCAATTCCTCTCAGTCCTAGCCTACATAACCAATGTTGGGAGTCATAGTCCAACAATATCTTGAGGACCACGTATTTCCCAGTCCTGCTTTAACTTTCTTAACCACTGCTGCCTCTTTTTTCATTCCTGGTCCTTTCCCTTATGGTAATCTGTATAATTATACAATAAATATCATGTGTTATGTGTGAATAGAAGCCCGGAGGTAATATTTTAAGTATATGTGCGTATTGCTGCTTATCAAAAGTAAGAAACCCACTATTCCCTGCTGTTCTTGGGATTTTGCTGGCATCTAGACCTGGTGCCAGCCACCACCCAGCCACCTGGGAAGGATGCTGTTGGATGTTATGTATGTTCTCATCTGATGCAGTAAAGCAGTTCTCCTGCAAGTTTCTAAGCCTGTTTCCTACAACTGGTTGACAAAGGACACACAATTGCTGTGCTCCATACCTCAGTTTGACACTTCAATATTTGATTTAGGACAGTTTCCTGAAATATTGTCCAACCTTTCACTACTTTCTTAGGATCAGAATTCACTGATTGTCTTTACTGTACCAAAAACTTACAATAATTTTTGCTTGAAAAATTTGTATTGGTTCCAGCAGTTTCTCTTGTTGTTTTTTAACCTAGACATGTACGCTGCACTAAACATAATTGGAAGTTGGATGTGAGCACAATGAAATATGTAAACCCTCCAGACAGCTTCTGTCAGGATGAACTAGGTAAAGTGATAGCTGACAAAGCTTCTAAAGGTGTATCCTTTTATACAGGTGCCACTTGTCACAATGGCCATGGGCAGAGCCGGCCCACCAAAGCTTGTCAGTTCGCCATATGTCTTTCATACTTTCTCTGCATACTGTATGACTTACACCCTTCCAATTCTATGAGCTCACACAGAGAGTAGACGGAATCTTCTATATGGAATGAAGACAGCCAACTAAGCTCCAGTCTTCTAGGCAGCAGAAGGAGAAAACAACCCTTGAATATGTAAAAACAATTCATTCCAAAAGTACAATTAAATAAATTATGGAAATAAAGGGTGAAAATAGTGTAGGGAAAGAAAGTAGCATGATCAAAAGCACAAGCAAACTTGGACTATTTAATATATACATTGTAAGCTGTAAATGTTGGCATTCCTAGAGCATCTGAACTGGGTGAAGAAGAACAACGAAGGGATAAGTCAGAATAGCTGTTTTATCCTGTTTTGTGATGGGAGAGTTTCAATAGTTTCTACTGAATTGGACAGTGGACCTAAGTTGAAGGATGCCCTGAAAAGAGACAATCAGTACCAGAAATTTCTCTTGGAATTATGAGAATTAATAAGAATGTGCCTAATTTTCCCCTGCCAAATGTTAATGTGTATTTACAGCAGGTTGCAGGTGAGACACGACAGGATGGATTTCACAAAGGAGTTGTGTTTCCAGCCACTACATGGAAAGCTAAAATGACAAGCATTTTATATTGGGATCACCTTTGTTATATTTTTTTTCTTATGTCCAGAAGCTTCTGCTGCAGTCTTTTGTTGTTCAGTTGTCCTGCTTCATTTACCGAATATGGAGCGGGGTGCACCACACAATGTTGTCTCCCATTTGTGGTCATCCCACTGTTTTCCCCCTGCTTCTTCTATCTCTTACCACCATCAAAATAAAAATAGCATCTATTAAGAATAGAGAGAGAATCGCTGCTCAATTTATTTTGATTTTGTAGCTATTATAGTGGGGGTAATCCATTCTGAAAATCATCCCCCACATCCCTGGTTACCTTACCCCATCCTGCAGGAATACCCTAAGCAATCAGAGGCAATTATCTCTGGATAGCTGGAGCCATCACTGCTATCCAGTGGTTCAAGTGATGGACTTTTGGGGCCAATGCACTATTGGACCAGAAATGCCTGAAGGAAGGCTTTCACATTAGCACCAACTGGTTGTTCAAAGGATGACACAAGCTTGTTTGGAGAGACAGATTAAAAAATCAGCTAAGGTAATGAAGCTTTGTTTCTTGCAACAAAATAAAAACTGTGGTTTCTTCTTTTCCTTTCTAGTTGTTGAACCGGATGCAGATAATGGACTTATGCTAATTGAACTGCATCCTCCAAATCCATGGGATGTAGAACCTAGAAAACCTGAAGATCTGGCTTTTGGGGAGGTGATGGTAAAGAAAAGATAGTGACTTTTATCTATGAGGGCTTGTAATTCAGATCCAATGCACCCTAAAGATACATATGTGCTGTATCTTATAGCCAGCAATAAATTGGGATGCTTCCAGATTAGGATTCCTTGCATTAACAATCAAAAGGCATTGTGCAACTATTTTGTTTTGAGTGGATATATTTCTGGTAAGAACATAAAATACAGATGGGAAATCACAGGAGATCTACAAATAAAAGATTGTGTGGTATTCCCCCTGCTCCCAAATTCCATGAATGATCGAATGATTCAAAACTTCGTCAGGAAGCACCTTCAATTAGTGTTAGTTATTGTTTTAAAACTGTCATCCTACGAACAAGCACAATCTGTTTAAATAAGTAGCAATTATTTAATCAAATAGAACAAAACTTATACAGACCCCCCAATTTCTAAATTTTCAGTGTTGTCTCCTAGCCTTTGAATTTAGTTTTTCAAAGGTAAACTGGTTCTGGGCATCTTTCATAATGAAGCTGATGCAATCCACGCCTTTCCCCCTTTAGTAATCCTGGAGGTTTGAATACACCTAACACTGATAGATTGCATTATGTTTATTTAGGACTGAAGTATACTAAAATCAGTTTTTTAAATGTACAGAAATTTAGTTGTACTTGGTACTCATCATGGGAATAATACAAATGGGATGATATTGTTTCAAAGTAGCCAAATGTAGCAGAACAGTTTTATGCTCGTTGAAATTAAGCAGGTTCTAGGAAGCCTTTCACAACCCGGTGCCCTGTAGAAGTGCTGAATTGCAATTCCCATAATTCTCCTCCCTTACGACCTTTGCTGGCTGGGAATTATGGAAGTCACAGTCCAATGCATCTAGACAGCACTAGACTGGGAAGACTGGTTGAAAAGTAATCTTGTCGAAAAGTAAGAAGAGGGCATACTCTGCTCCACTTAAAACTACACAAATGGAAATGACCTAAACTGTGCTGCACTCTGCTTTAGTTTAACGTTTATGGAGATAAATCTTACAGTTTAAGAATGCGATTAATGACATTGCAAAAAAATGGAGTGTGAAAGTCAGTAAATATTGTACAGTAAACTAATATTGTGGTTATGTTACTCATAACTTGAATTCTGTTTTGGTGTCTATTAGATGCCTTCTCTCTGTTTTTATTCTCTCTTTTGTCTCTGAATGAACTTCATGATACACACCACTGCATCTGGCTGCATTTGTGTTGATTCACTTTGGCAGGGTGTTCAAGAAATATTGGCTAATAGCTCATACAATAGGCTGTGCCTGATCAGTGGAATACTTGATGCTGTTTGGTATTGTTGCTCTGAAGAGGGAACCCTCTTGACACTCCCTCTGAATTCTCCTCCCCATATTCAAAATGCAGTATGGGAGGGATGTGTGTTTGGGTGCTTCCAGACAAGTCTTTTACCTCACTATCATGCTGTTTTATTCACTAAGTTTTCAAGTGGGTCTGGATGTCATTGTATTCGACTAGTAACAATCCCATCTTTTCTCAAACTTCCTTCCTTCCCTCCCCCCATGCTCTTAACACAGTAAAGGAGGAACAGCAGAATAGCTGTGCAATGCCCTTGGAGTGGTAGTGCTAGGAGCCCTCTATCTGGAAACTGTGTGTGTGTGTATCCTGAAAATTCCTTGGGTTCAGAGGTCTTTTGATCCTGGCCACTTACTTCAAGAAGAAACTTAATCTAAGAAACTGCACACTTACTTAGTAAATTCTATAGTGGGACTTACACAAAGGTTGTGACGTATCCGCTCTCCAGGCAGGAATGCTCCTACTCCAAGGTCCATCACTGAGTCGTTCCTTCCAAACAGGGGGCTTCATTTTGTTCCTTCCCTCCCTGGATTCTCTTCCATTTGATCTTTCTCAAGAGTCACTTTGTGGCTCCTGGGCATGCTCATTCCACAGTGGGCTGTTGGGAAAGGGGCTCCAAATTCACTGGGTGACTCAGCCCAACCTACCTGTTGCAACAATAAAATGGAGTTTAGGAGGGCCACGTAAACCACCTTGGGCTCTCCTCAAGAGGAAAAAAGGTGGGCTATAAATACAATACAAGAAAGGTTCTTATGTCTGCAAATGTTGGCATTTCCTTAAGCACACTGATACTCAAGCTGCATTTGGGTTCACATTCTGCCAATCCTCAACAACTATTTTTTTATTCAACAGCAATCTAGCAATGCCAGAAATATTCCACCAGGTTAGGTAGCATGAAGGCAGGAGAGTGAGTGTGGAAAAGAGAGAGAGAGACTGGAAATACAAAGAACACAAGGAAATACAGGAGTACTGCTGTCAGGATATTTATGTATTTATTAAATTTGGATGACTAACAGCATAAATAAATTGATGACCCACTCTGGCTGCAAGTTAATAAAATACAATAATAAAATTCATTATTAAAACATATTAAAATATTGATTAAATAAAAAGGTCTTAACCTGGCGCCGAAAAAATATAATGATGGCGCCAGGCGGACCTCTCTGGGCAGCGCGTTCCATAGACAGGGCACCACCTCCGGGTACTCTGTCTCCTAACATTTTTCACAGAGGGTTCCTGGAGGAGGGCTTCTGTTGCCGATCTCAGGGGGCGGGAGGGCAAATAGGGAAGAAGGCGTTCCTTTAGGTATCCTGGTCCCAAGCCATTTAGGGCTTTATAGGTAATAACCAGCACCTTGAATTGAGCCTGGACTTCAATGGGAAGCCAATGGAGCTGATAGAGGACTAGAGTTATATGAAAATAACACACAGTCCCCGACAGCATCCTGGCAGCTCTGTTTTGAACCATCTGAAGTATCCGGACGGTCCTTTACATATTTTTTATATTCAGGTTTTTACCTGCTTACCTTGATTTTTTCCCTCCACTTTATATATCATCACTTGGAGTCTTTTGTGTTAATTCCTCAAATCCAGAAAGTTACGGGGTGCTTCCACAGGAGGCTTGCATTCTTCAAATGGCCTTCCTCATTCACATAATTTTAAGGGAGGATCCAGATAGTCTTCTGGTCATAAGTCTCCTCTGCTTTCCCACAGTTCTCCTGAAAATCCATTAAAGAAAGATGGAATAGGTGCGGAATATCTGATTGGTGGTGGTAAAGGTTTGCTTGTTTTTTCAGGCATACAGAACATGGCAGCACTAATCAGTCTAATTCTTGGGTTTCTCTCTGTTCCTAGGTAACTTACCTAACTCATGCATGTATGGACCTCAAACTAGGAGACAAACGAATGGTATTCGATCCATGGCTAATTGGTCCTGCCTTTGCACGTGGCTGGTGGTTGCTTCATGAGCCACCCAGGGACTGGTTAAAAAGGCTTTGCAATGCAGATCTTATCTACATCAGCCACATGCATTCTGATCATCTCAGGTATCTATGCACATGATAAAATTCAAGTAATGTAGCCTATGCCAAAAGCAGATGGTAGTCTTGTTGGAGCATAAGAAAAATGCCAAAAACCTTTATCTTAGACCATCTAAATGTGTCAAAATGTCTGCAGGCATTTAAGTCCTTCAGAATTCATCGAGTTAAATGGCAACAAAAGTGAAAGATGAAGGGAAAATGAAGACTTCGTGACTTTGACAACAGCTAACTTTTTCCACCTTCCCTCATTGTTTTGTTTACCATCTTACCTGTTAAAGAGTTCTGGAGAACCTGAAAGTTCATGCACGCTCTTTTGCAACATTATGATTGGCCTGATAGTGATTTTTGGCCTATGCTATCTTCCAAAACACTGAATCTGAAGTCTGAATCTTCCTCACTAAGAGTGGTTTGCAATCTTTTAATGAAAATTTTCACATTGCATTGTCTTGCTTTCAAGAACAAGTTCTTGGTTGAGGGATTATGGCTATTAATGCCTGAAGGAATTATTCAGGTATACACTTGCTTGCCTTAGTGATGAATTTTGAAATCTGTTGTTCTCCCCTGAATATGTTTATGTTCAGCAATGTTTTTCAGCAATTAATCCAGCTGAAGAGAGAGATCATGAAAAGTACATAGCACCACATTTCAGAATAAATAGCTTGCAGTGAATTTGTGCTGTTTCTTTCTTGTTTTCTAGTATTTGCACAGCTGGCCAATAAAAAAATGGAACCTTCTGGGGATGGAGAATAAAGGAAAATGAGCATATACTAATAAGGCTAGAGACATGCAGCCCTGGGATACAGAAATTAGAGAGCATAAAATTAATTTAAAATCAATTAAAACACCATTATACTGATAGCAAAAGAATTTACAGGCAAGAAACATTCTTCATATGACAACAGAAATGTTCTCTCATTTCAGACTGACATACTAGACATTTGATCATGATAATGAACTATACCCATTGAACTCAATGAGACTTACCTCTACACAGACATGCATAAGATCGTGTAGTAAGAGTGAAATATATATTAAAATACCTGATGAAGTGCTGTGGTGGGATTTATTTCTTTTAATGGGGGTAGAGGCTCTGCTCTCAGGATAAGGTATTTCAAACGAGTTTGCTTAATTTAGAAAAATGAGTACAGACAGACATAGCATTACAGTATTTTGATAGAGTTGACATAATGCTTTTACTTAAGGGCTTTTTTCTTTTTTGTATAGTTTATACTAGACAGTAAATCCACTTGAGAATAAGGCTATTTTATTTATTTATTTATTTAAAACATTTCTATGCCGCCCCCATCACAACAAAGCCTCGGGGCAGCTCACAGCATAATTAGGTTTATTTTTCCTAATTTCATGTCCTTTTCATGTTCTTTGCATACTCTCCAGTTACCCTACTTTGAAGAAAATTGCTGAACGGAAGCCTGACATTCCCATTTATGTGGGAAAGACAGAACGGCCTGTGTTTTGGTACCTTGACCAAAGTGGCATAAAACTGACTAATATTAATATTGTTCCATTTGGAATTTGGAAACAGGTGTGTTACCTTTCTATTTCTCCAGTAATATTTCCTTCCTGGAGTATTGAATAATTCAGAAATGATTAATCATCAGAAGATAATCTGTTCCTGTCTAGGAGGAAAAAGTATTTAAAAGGTTTTCCCCTCTCTGAACATATTGATTGTCCTGTGAGCAAAGTTCCTTCTCCATTTTGATTATAATAGAGTGATGTACTGAGGTTCCCACTGAGTAAGTACTAGTTATTTAATAACAGGGAGATGATTCCTACATGGGGTAGAAAGTGAGATTCAGAACGAAAAGGCTCAACATAAGGGTCCGGCTGGCTGGAGCACAGGGAATACAGCTAGTGGCTTCTTTTGCCAGTTTTTCTCCTGGTGGTCCTCTCTTTTTAAACTTCCCTGCCATGGAAATTGGCTTCAAAGTAGGATAGCCCTACTGACATCATGATGGAGATCCCTGATGTATGTAGGCTGAAGATAAAAGGGGGTATGGGGTGGGGCTAGCAAGTAACAAGTATAGACACTGTTCTCCCAGGTTGGAAATGCCCATGCTAAATTAAGCAATTCATAGTAACATGTGGTCTGATTGTTTCAAGGTGGACCAGAATCTTAGGTTTATGATCCTGATGGATGGTGTGCATCCAGAAATGGATACTTGCATAATTGTTGAATATAAAGGTATGTGAATATCACAGTAATTTGTCTTTTTAGTCAACGTATGGGACATTGCTTTTTAAATATGTGCTTTCCAAATACAAAAGCAAAAGAACTCAGACCTTTTATATAGTTTTATACAATTCGGGCTCTTTGTACAATTGCATAATTTTTCAGGTTTGTTCCACTTTTCTTTGATTGGTTATCCCCTAGTAAATGTGATTCTTTCTCCCTTTATAATTTTTACTTTTCCAAACAAAGTTTTATTTGCTTTTTTTATGAAATGAGGCTTTGAAATATCCTTTCCTCAGATTTGGATATGCTTGTTTGATACCATGGTCTACACCAGCAGAGTACCTAATGCAGACTATCAAATGCCACCCTATGCACATGTTTGGGCCAAAAAGTAGTTGTGTTATAGATGCATCAAAAATGATAAACCCTCAAAATCCACACCAATTCTATCAGAAGGTTCTTTTGAAATCCAGAATAAAATCTGATGTCATCACCTATGTGGTGGTGGTGGTGAATTACCTTATAAGATGACCAAATGTAAATGAATATCAGATGTACAGGAATGTTCTGGAAAATACTCAGAACTGACAAATGTGCAAATGACAACATTTGTATTTGTTCAAGAACAGTGAAGATAGATCTATTCTTCACCCTGCAATGTAGTTCAAAGCCATGTCTTGTCCGGACCCATCCCGCAGGTCAGTGATCGGGATGTTCAGGATAAGTGCCAACAAGCAAGAAGCCACAGGCAGTACAAGGGTAGCTGCTGTTTCAGCACTGAGGAGTCCCCACCTGGATAGCTTTTCAGTTGGCACTGCTATCCTGCCCTTCCTGGCCGTGCTTCAACCCTGGTCTGGAACACAGGAGCAGCCTGGCTTCCTCCTCTTAGGTAGGACTCAGAGATAGGTGACCCCACGTGGTCCGGTAGGTACAGTGTCTCCGATTCAGTTTTCCAGAGGGAAGGGGTGAGACAAGTCACAGTGCGTTGGTTCCAGGAGCCCTTTGTATCTTCCAGGATTGTGGTCTGCAGATTGGTATCTGGTGACTTTGCTGTTGGCATTGGTATCCATAAACTTTGCATGCACCCTGGCCTTAAGTATTAGTGCCAAAATAGGATCCTCCTCTTCCTCCATGGCTCCATTCATTTCTAGGCCCATCTTTCCAATGTGGGATGCATCAATAGAACTTTTATAGGATCCCTTTCCATCACCCAAGAAGAAATAAGTGGGCAGCGGCACAATGACATTTGACTATCTTTGTATAGGACATAAAATCCTAAATACAGTGGACTGCACAAGGCCTAATGGTGGAAAACTTCCAGGAAATGTCGACCTTATGATGAGTGACTTTGCAGGTGGAGCATCAGGATTCCCAATGACATTCAGCTGAGGAAAATATACTGGTAACAAAGCAATGTGTTAATTCAGACATTTCAGGATATTTTGTCTGTTGGTCAGTACTCTTATTCCAAGTAACACACTTTTTCTTGAGACAAAAAGATGATGAATGATTGGATCATCTTCACACAGGAACCAGTAACATGCATGGAAAACCATGTGCTGCAGCCGCATATTCCAAGGGCAGAAGTTCACTATATTGCCTATCTGCTATTTAGCCTAGCAAAACCACATTCCTATATTGCTAAAGTCCTGCTCTATTTCATCCTCCATTACTGCATTTAGCTTGGCAAAGCCCTATCTCAATGTCCTATTGTCAATATCCATTTATCTGTTTCATCCTTCACTTTCAGCTCCAACTCTCCCCACCCACATTCATATTTGTTGCTTCCCTTCACTGCTACCTTCCACCACTAGTCCCCATCATCCCCTGCTCCCAGTCTTTGCACTATTCTCTTCACTACCTAGCTGTTAAATTCTTGTATGGTTTACCAATCTCCAGCACTGCCCTCTAACCTACATATATTTCTGACAGCTAGCAGTGAATGGAAGTGAAAAGCACAAGGTGAGGAACCTGAAAGCAACAGAGGGCTGTTGGAAAATACTGCTTCTGCTCTGGTAAATGCAATCCTGCCTTCTCTCCTGCAGCTCCCCCCAGCCACTCTTGCTAGTTGTCAGAAATACTTTATTTATTTATTTATTTATTTTTCAATTTATATCCTGCCTTTTTTCCTACAAAGGGCTCAAGGCAGCTTACATCTCCTCCTCCATCTTATCCCCACAACAACAACCCTGTGAGGTAGGTTGGGCTGAGAGTCTGTGACTGGCCCAAAGTCACCCAGTTGGCTCCATGGCCAAGCGGGGACTAGAACCCAGATCGTCTGAGCCCCAGTCCCAGGCTCTTAACCACAACACCACACTGGCTCTCATGGAGATTACAGAGCAGTGAATCACAAAAGTTAGACAAAATCCATGCAGAGAAGTAGAGTGGAGGGGGAGATTGTACAAATCTCATGGCAAAACAGCAGAAGGGAGAGGAAATGTGGACGTACTACCTAGCGGCGGCCCTTCATTCCTGCAAACTTGCAGAAGAACAAAAATTTAGGTGGAGAGGACATCTTGCAAATGCATTCAGGACTCTCTCTGGTGTCCTTTCATCACTGTTCCTCCCAACCTCCTCAACACCACCCACTAACTCCACCTTGAGGCTAAGAAGCGATTTTGGGCACTAGTAAGGACTAAGGAAGTGGTGGGGGAGGGGAGCAGGGGCTGCTCTTCCCGACCAAATTTCTTTGCTACGGTCAGATGTACATGCAAGTTACAGTGCAGTGAACAGCATCAAAAATGTATGCAAAATGCATGGCAGACCTGTAGAGCAGAAAGGAAATTTGAGCAAAGTTCATGGCAGGATTTTGCTTGTTTTAAAGTATGTGAATGCCTTCCTGCAGGTGTTCTTACTTCAGTGTAAGGGAAATGTCAGAATGCAGTAAATTGACAAGGGGGAAAAGGCATGCTTGGCCCCATAGTGGACAGGTGGTCTTTTGCTCTTATGCAACATCCTTTTAAAGTTTGCAAATACAGTCCTGTGTTCTCGAGATTTTAAAACTTGATGTGCCTGCAAAAAGGGCAAAGGCTATTTTAGGTTGCTTAATAGAAGTATCACTTCCAAATCATGTGAAGTACAAGTTCGTACTTACTCAGTACTGGTTAGGCCTCATTTGGAGTACTGTGTCCAGTTCTGGAGACCACAGTTTAAAAGAGATGCAAACAAAATGGAAAGGGTTCAAAAGAGGGCAACAAGGATGATGCAGGGAGTCAGAACAATTCCCTGTAGGGAGAGATGGAAAGAACTGGGCATGTTTAGCCTCAGGAAGAGAAGACTGAGGTGAGATATGAGAATGCTCTACTATTAGTTGAAAGGCTGCCACAAAGAAGGGGGATAGGATCTCTTGATCATTCCAGAGTGCGGGACTTGGAATAATCAGCTCAAGTTGCAGGAAGCCAGATTCTGGCTAGATATCAGGAAAAATGACCTGACTGTTAGAGAAGTATTATCAAGTACCTAGGGAGGTTGAGGCCTCTCCCATACTACTACTACTACTACTACTACTACTACTACTACTACTACTACTAAAAGCTTTTGTATGCCATCCTATTATATAAGATCTCAGGACGGCTTACAATATTTAAAAACAATTAAAACAACAATTTCAGTAAATAATAAAACACAACAAAACAATAAATTACAAAACAAACAGAGTGACTGAAATTAAAAGCTATTAGATTTTAAAATACTGTTTAAATAAAAAGGTTTTGGCCTGGAGCCGAAAAGAGTATAAACTTGGCGCCAGGCGTACCTCTCTGGGGAGTACATTCCAGAGTCTGGGCACCACAGCAGAGAAGGCCCTACTCCGAGTTGATGACCCTTTTACCTCTCTTAGAGAAGGTTCCCGGAGCAGGGCTTCTCCCATAGATCTTAAGGGGCATGAGGGCATATAAGGAGGGAGACATTCCTTCAGGTATCCTGGTCTCTAGAGGCATTCAAGATGCAACTGGACAGCCATCTGAGAGGGATGGTTTAATTTTGTGTCCTGCACTGAGCAGGGGACCAAAACCAGGGGCCCTTTGGCCACTTCCAGCTCTACTTTTCTACAATTCTGCGACAACAAAGCAGCTCATTGAATAGGGACTTGGAAATTGTTCTCTCCTTGCAGTGTTATGTAAGATGAATGGGAGTGTTCTTCATCAGATGACAATTGGAGGAGACTAAAAGGAGAAACTGTGCTGACATAAGGAATGAGGAAACAAAAATTTCTGCCAGAAAAGCCGCTGGGAAATGTGTTGTGTCATTCAAACCTAGCAACCCATGGATGGTTGCCATGCATAATACAGAACCCAAGGGGGTTCTGCTGTTTGGAGGTTAGGGGTGGTTTGTTAACTAGCACCCCCAACCTCACAACATGACAAGACAGTCATTCTTTGAATATTTAAAATCAGCTGTTCACACTGCAGCACACCCTGACTTAAATAAGTACTGGGATATGTCATTGTGCAAAGTGGCCCACTACTATCAGAGGAATATAAGCTATCCCTCCAGAAACTACATTCTGCTGTAGCTGAGCAGAGCCCTGTAAGAACTTTCAGTAAACTGGCACCATGATGGGAAACCTTCATAAAGCAAACCTTTCTTGTTCACTACTACACACCCAAAATTTAGGGTACAATCCCATTGTGTATTGTAAGCCCACAAACTGCTCATCCTATGCTGGGTAGGAGATCATCACTTCTTTATCTTTGTAATCTCCACTTTTGCTAGAGAGCATTTTTGCCACTTAATAAAGAACTGAAAAGCTAGGATCCTATTAAGTGGCAAAAATAGCTATGAGAGAAAGACAACGGCCATTTCTATTTTCAAGGGAATTTCTCAAACTTCTGCACAGACATGACTGCATGCAGAAAGCCACCACTTATAGCCATAGAATTTTCAAAAGCTCCACTAGTAGAGCAAGTCTTTTCTCCCTCTGCAGATCTATAATCTAGTTTCATTGGCTTTTGGTTGATCACTGGAGGAACAGAAGGTAGAGCATTAGGTCCTTGTTCTGACACAGCAAGGCTATTAACCTAGGAAATAAAAAATTCTACAGCACCAAGGAGAACTTTTCACCTCAACATAAATAGTAGCCTGGTGGAAGGCCAGGAGATTTTGACTGAGACAACAGCTGGAGATGGACGTGTTGAACCTCCCCAATGAAAATTAGCAGCCCCACTATGAAATAAATAAACAAAAACCTTGATGCACTTTCCATTAAAACATTTACATCTAATCTGGCCCTCAGCCCTGTCGTTCATGCCTTCTGAATTAGGCCATTGTAAGGTGGTTTGTGTGGGGATTTCATACAAGCCTTCCTGGAACTTTTAGCCAATTCAAACACTGATGTCTATCTTTTTACTGGAGGAAACCTGCAGAAACATGTTACCAGTAGATGACTGAGTGTTTTTGCCAGTTTTGACATAAACTGTCAAACATATTTGTCTTAAATAATTTGGGCTTGAAGTATCTTAGGTACATTTATTCTTGCTTGCTTTGATTATTGTTTGGACATCAGTTCATCTTTTTATACTCTAAACCATTTTGTAAACAAATATTATAAAGCAGTACATAAATGATGTAAATGCACTCGTCTATTGGTCGTTAACAAAATCAGCCTTCCCTGTCCTAGTATCTTCCAGATGTGCTGAATGGAGCCCAACTCCCATAATTCCCAGTCACTGGCCACACTGAACTAGGTCATGTGTGTCTTCAACAGGCAAAAAAGTTGGGTTTTCAACAGCAGAAACTTTTCTCTTAATCCCAAGGGAGTATGCACTATGTGCTGTTTTAAGCCTCTGTGCAAGGGGGAACATACGAACATACGTATAAGGAAAAAAGTGGTTGGGAGAGAAGTTTAGTCTTGTATCCATGCATGGGGGTTCCAGTCTGGAGGGGTGCCCTGCACCCTTACACAAAGGGCCAAAACAGACTTTGAATCCGTATTGAGCAGCTGCAGCATTTTCCTCCTCCCTGCCCTCCATATTCATTCTAGAGTAAACACAACGGGTGTGATCCAGCTCTTCAAAGCTCCACTGTCTGCAGCTGTCAGACAATGGTTTCTCTACCAATATGAAAAACTAGGTGATCTACAATGATAGGTAAAGATCTATGTGAATTAGTCGCCAGAGCATGTTCAGAGGTGCCAGGTTTGAATTTGCTCTCATCCTAATTTCTGTTTTCCTATCTAAATGTCAGCAAGACCAATCCCCCCTGCCCCCTCTATTCTGCACTGTCACTTTTTCTTTTCCGCTCTACTGTCCTGTCTGATTTCTCTCACTCAGTTTAAAGTATGAGAAGAATTATAAGAAATGAGTATATTGAAACCCTTGAAGAACAAAATTATGTTTCCCTATTAGATCTGATAAGTACTTTGACTTTTCAGAGGAATGGAAAGCACAATTTATTAAAACTGAAAGGAAGAAGTTGCTGAATTACAAGGCCCAGCTGGTTGCTGATCTGAAGCCAAAAATCTATTGTCCTTTTGCAGGATATTTTGTTGAAGCTCATCCTTCTGACAGGTATTGTCTTCTGGTCTACTCACAGCACACTACATTTATTATAGTAGTGTTGAACAAGCACCAGAATTTCACAGAACTATCTGGATGAAATATTCATGGCTAGTGCCATCAAAAGCATTAATGTCATTAGAAAAAAGATTCTTTTTAAATTTGAAGTGTTTTGTATCATCAGAAGTAAATGCAATTTGTCTTGCAGATGTGGAGGAAGAATTATGAAACTAAGCACAAGAGTGCAATTGGAAGTCCTCAGTGGTGGTTTTGGGATGGTCTTCCCATAAAGACTTACCCCATGCCCCGCTGTTGCCTTACACTGTACTTTTAAGCATTTACCCACCGGCTTTTTTCTGTTTTGTATATTATTTTTTTGTTGGTCTTACAGATTTTCTGTTTTACCTCATTTTTATGTGTTTTCAATTATATTATACTGAAAAACACTATGATAACTTGACTGGGCAGTGTATAAACCTTAAACTTGTGAAAATTAAACAGTGCACTTGCTGGGTCCCTTCCCTTCCCTTCTTCCTCCACTCTTCTTCCAAAAAGCACTCTCTTTAAGGATGCTTTTCATTTTTTTCTTGAATAAATTGTAGTTTATCCTTTATGTCCTAACAATGGACTAAGATGTAAGCCTAAGACATAGACCATAAAAGAATACTGGAACTGGTAGTAGGTACACCTTCATCTTTTTGTCCTAACTTTCACCATGCACCATAATCTATCCATTTATTGTCATTTGATCGGGATCTCAATTGGCCGTGAAAGGAGCCCTCTTCTTCCCAGAGGAGCCCAGGAGAAGGGAATTGTATCTGTGCTTATTTATTTATTTATTTATTTATTAAACCATTTCTATGCCACCCCATTCGCCGAAGCTTCGGGGCGGCTCACAACATAATCGGGGTGGCTCTGGGGTCATGACCGCAGAAGCTCCTGAAAACTGCTACAAAAACTGCTACATTATGGAATTATTTCAAAAGCGACTAGTGCTAGTGCTTGTTCTCTTTGTACTTCTTGTTTTCTGTTTCTAATCTTATGAAAACAGCACATCCTGTCTCTTTCCTTAACCTAGTTACATCAAAAACACCAACCTTAAAAATGACCCAGATGAGTTGAACAGACTAATTAAAAAGAAAAGCAATGGCGTTTCAACATGGACACCAAAACCTGGAGCCATACTGGACTTAGCAAGAGTTCTCAGGGATCCAACTGATAGGTGATTTTAACTTTAAAAAAATTGTTTTTTTATTGTCTATTGTTTTTATATTAAACAATTGTCTATTGTTTTTATATTAAAAAGCTTCAAAAGTTTGTAAGTAAGCACATCTGTCAACCACCTTCTGCAGAACTGTGTTAGCTATGGGCAGAAAACGTACCCTCAGAAAACAGAGAACCCCTCTAGCTTAATTCCAGCTACTCTGAGTGGCAGAGCCACTTTGAGATCTGATCTCACAAGAGCGTTTGCAACTGCACTGCATTGGGGGCATCAGAACACTGCATGCAAGTATCCAGTTCTATCCAGCCTTGCATTAGACACATTAGATAAAACCCACGCTGGGCTGGAAAGCATTCAATGGTTAATGAGTCCCACAAAATATCCTCCTGCAAGCAGAAAACCGATGAGTTAGGGAATCAAAGGTTTAGTGAAGCCTTTGATTTATCACTGACATCTACTGATCGCATATATTAGGTTTTAGTTTTGCTTTGAATAATTGTACAACACGAAGAAGTAAAATCCCTTTGCAGGACTCTAAAAAATTAACAAGTGTATGAAAGTATGAGAATTATATCTATTTTAGGGCTGCAGAACCTCAGGGATCTCGTTAGGTGGCCATACCCTTTCTCCTCTCTGCCTGTCCTTTGGTGGCTTTGAAAATGTTGTACAGCTGTTCTCCCATCACAAAAGGTAGAAATGTTTCTCCTAAGGTGTTAAGCTTGGAAGAGCATGTGAATATTTTCCATCCTACACCTTTTCCCTTTTTCCTGCTTCTTTTCCTGTCAGCTCCACATACCACTGGAATGGGGCCTCCAAGAGCTGTTCTGAAATAGAGTTTGGCCTCCTGGCCAAAAGAGGTCCCACTCTGATCTAGTGTATCAAGACAAGGAAGTGCTATTGGAGATCAGATAGCAACTCCAATGGGCCTTTTGTCAATTGAGCTCTTTAAATATCTGATTGTTACTCATACACTATTTTCTCTCTTTTAGTATGGGAATTGTGGATCCTCCAGCAGGGACACACATCTTCAAAGACTCATGGGATTTTACACTGTACTTAAACACACTTGGATCTGCTGTTGATCATGAGATTTTTCTGTATCCTTCCTGGGTGAAAGAATATTACCTTTGGGCTGGATTTAAAGGCTATGATCTTGTGATAAGGGTATGTTCTATATAAGTATCGTTCAAAGACAACATAACATTCTACAGGAGTAGCAATGTTTTCAGCTGCTTTAGCAGCAACAAACACCTGCAGCACCTTAAAGAATGTCAAATTTCAACATACTATATTTCATTGGCATCCTAAGTTTTATCAGTTACATGAAATGTACAGAGGTAAAATTGGAAATATATGGGAAAGCCTGACATGTGTAATAATGTTCGTACCATGACAGATTAATCTGGGGAGTCAAAGTTAGAAATATATTTTACTACTTTGCAGCTGTGAGACAACTATTTAAATGAGTGTCAAGCATGGGTGTTGACAGGCCCAGGCCAGAACGACCCTCATCCATGACCTCAGGTCTCTCAAGAGTCGGCTGGGCAGGCGTCCATGGCTACTGTGCATGGCTAAAGCCTGGAGGCTGTGATGGAGGGTGGACTTTAAAAGAGCTGCTAATCGGCTGCAATGCAGCTGGCATGGTTGGGGTTGGAGAGTAGAGAGACGCCTGAGAAGCGGCAGCTAGTTGACCCCGAGATGGGAGGAGCAAGGGCAGAAAGAGAGACTGAGACATGTATGTGCGTAGGGCATTCTGAAGCCTGGTGCCAGGAAAACTGAATGTTGGCATCGAGACTGTGCCACACGTGTGAGGCGCTGATGGCTGAGGAGGGTGGGGTATGGTCCTCATCAGAACAGGTGCGCCTTGGAAGTGGTGATGAAGGAGAAGGTAAGTGCTTGCACCCAGGAGCGGCTATGGGGAATGTAGGAACAGAAGAAAGAAGTACAATTCAGGAGCAACTTCTCGATGCCCAGCTACAGCTGGTGAACTCAGGGAGAGAGGCAAACATTCCAGTGTGAGAGCACCTGAAAGGATTCTCAAGAGCACCTGCTTGAAGAAATGGCAGGCCCTCCTGGCGGAATGTGGGTTAGCAAGTTTACGTTAATGCCTCCTCTTCAGAGGATGAGGACTTTGTGCCTCAAATAAAGCTTGTCGAAAGTGTAGACAAACACAAAACCACTGAACTGTGGCCATGACAATTAACAATAGTGAAAATTCCAAAAAGGGGTACTTTTTAAGCATCAAGGATAGATGGAAAGAACAAGAAAAAACTTGAATAGTTTGGGGAACACGATCAATCGTCAGCTTGTTCTTTAACAGTATATACACTAAAATGGAAATGACTTTGTTGCGGTCTGTTTGTCTTACCTAGGTGATAGAAACGGATGACGATTTCAATCCTTTGCCTGGAGGCTTTAACTATTTGGTGGATTTTTTGGACTTATCATTTCCTGCAGAAAAACCAAACCGTGATTTCCCATATGAGGAAGTAAGTCACATGTTTGCAATACAAATGCACACTTTCACATGTTCTCCAAAATTTTACTTGCTTATTACTGTCCCTGATTGGAGGATGGGGGAGGGTAGAGCCAACAAACAGAGAGCTTGCCAAGCTTAAATAGTTTCATTTGAATTGCTTTGGTGGGTGGGGGGGAAAAGCACTTGTGAATGAATAAGAAAGAGTATATAGGAAAATAAGCTTTTGATTTTTAAAAAACTCCAGTTCAATGCATTTCAATGGAAAATCTGGTTTCTGTCATAGAGGCTTTCAAAAGCATTCTGGGAAACATATTCCCATGTGCTGCTTAGATTTAAACACTAAATAAATGGATGTCCATGGGGAAAAGGGGAAGACAGTCCCAACACATAACCTTAATTTCAACATCTCATATGATGCATGGTAGTTCAGTTGTTCTACCATCCACATTAGTCAGAAGAGAACTTAGAAAGATAAATAATCAGAGGGGCTTTTGTTAGTCCTGTGGGTATTGCCATTCACCCTACCCTGTCCATGCCTGCATAATGCTCTTGACAACTGAAGATCTGGTTCACATTTTTGCCTGATAAAAAACTTCTTTTGAAGAAACACTTAAGTTAGTTTCATTAGAGAGGGACCCAGTAGGATGGCTAAATGAGCAGTGTTGTTTAGGTTATTTTTAAAGCTTTTAAAAGTGTGAGTAACATAAGCAACAAACAAGATGGTGATTTATAAAGATGGTAAACTCTGATCACTGCCTTTTCAAGTGGACTATACCATAGACCCACGGTACTTTCAGATGAAGATGTCTTAGCAGCACCAGTCAAAAGACTTTGTTAAGCTATTCTGCTTCTACTTCCTTAATAGATTTTAGAAAAAGATGGGAGAAGTGGTGGGAACAGATGGGAAGATTAGAAGTGGGTCACAATGTTGATTAAGATGCTTCCCAGATGAAGAGCTCAGGTTCATACTTAGATTCTATTGGTTGCATATCACAGTCCTCCTGAGCCTGGGGCTGTCCAGGTGTGTTGGACAACCACTCCATCAGCCACAGCCATCTGAAATTAGATGCAGTGCTTTGTAGATAATGCTGTTTTGTCTTTTACGACAGATAAAAGCCAGAGTTAATGTCATACGGCATGTGGTGGTGCATGGATTACTCTGGGATGATCTGTATATAGGATTCCAAACTCGGCTACAGCGTGACCCCGACATATACCATCATCAGTAAGCTCCTTCAGTCTGTGGTTGCCATTCTAATTGCCAGCTGTCAGAACAATGAACCTTTCATTTATTCTAAAATGCCCCAGAAAATATATTTCTGAGTGCAAAGAATAAAACCGGTGGAAGGTGGAGTAGCCTTATTGGTTAGGATAGTCTCATTCTTTATGCCTCAGGAGTACCAAATAAGAAATGGATTCTTCTGTAAATAAGTCCTGTGTGGAAACAATTTGTTATAATTCATAGCAATTGTCTATAGGTATAAGATGCAGAGGATGCTATGGCTTAGAACAATTCAAAAAACGGGCAGAGGAAGCAATTAAATGATGGAACAACTGCCCGTTCCAATATGCCAGCTAGGATGGGCATTCTCAGCTTCTTACTTTTCTAGGGGTTCTTTATGTCTCCTCCTCCACTGAAACCCTAATGTTTTCACTGGGAGGGAAAGTACCTTTACCAGGCCTGATTCTGGCAGCTTGGAGGGGAATTAAGGGGCCATTAATCCAGTGATCCTGGAACAGCCCATTTAATGGTGTGCCACTGGCAGAAGCTGCAAGATCTTCGACCATTCTCCACAGACATACTGGAAGTCACTAGGGCAGATACTCCCCCATTCAGCGGAGCTCCTGCCCCATCTAAGCCCCTCCAGACAGTAGATATGGCCATTACAAGTGCACTTACTGTATCTTTTCTTCTGACATACCCTTCAGTCCTAATTATGGTTCCTTCTTCAGCTCTTGGCTGTCCTCAGATTACTTCCCCTCAACAAAGCCCTGAGTGCAATCATTTGCCTAAAGTGACTGAAATAATACATTTACCTGTGCAAACAAAATGCAACAATAGCTCCGAATTTCCTACTGTCCGTTCTGCCCAATGGAACCTCTGTGTAAACCAAAGTTTGCATACGCTTTCCATTCACACTTGATCTTACGAATTTTGTTATCTGAGTCCCTGTGTTTTGTGCACTACTGAAATGTCCCATGTGGAATTCTCCTGTAGCTCCAGCCACAGAGAGAAACAAATAAGAGGCGATAGGACTCTCCAGCTTGCTGGTGATCTCCTGTGCAAAGCAAATAGGTAAACCCAATGCTCAGAATCCATGAGGTCCCAGTAGATGACCAGAAGACCTGGCACTGTCCAAGTTGCACCACTGTTTCGGTAGTCTACCTGGAGGGCTCCGCAGGGGTCCTTCTCAGCCCTGCCAGATGATGTCAAGGGCTGAGCCTGGGACTTGCTGCATGCAAAGCATGTTCTCTACCACAGAATGGCAGCCCTTCCTAGTCCACATGGGGTTGGCAGAGGGGGTTGGAAAACATTTCACTGTCTGTAGACTGGACCAAAAATAATTGATTCCATGTACGTAATGTCCTTCTGTGCATAACCCTATTTTTATTATATTTCAAGGTTTTGGAATCACTTCCAAATAAAACTTCCTCTGGTACCACCTGACTGGAAGCATTTCTTGACACAACAGACAAGAACGTGAAATAAAAATGTAGTCACTGTGCAGGCAATAATGAGAGTTGCTGATAGAAACACCTTCTAACAAATGCAGTTTCCTCTTGGATCCTCTATGAGAAAGTGTAATTAATATGTACTCAGACATAATTACTGAATAATGTTATTGCCCCCAAAATATCTATGATCTATACACAGAGAAGACAGTTTATTGTTCTCTGTGTGTGCTGATTATAAATAATCGTAAATTATAATCATAAATGACTCTCCTAAGCTGTTATCAGCTTTTCTTTTAGTACTATCTGGAAATACGGGTTTCAGACATCTTAAATGTATGTATCCAGTAATACTGTCAATTGCTGTATGCCTCTTATTCTTTGCAAGATATTGACAAACAAAATGGAAAAAATAAACAGATTTAATAAAGATTGTTTGCATTGCTTCCTCAGATAGATAAGGGTATACTTGCTGGAAGAACAATATGAACTGGGTATCTTCATGCAATTAAGTATCTCTCTGTCTTTTCTATATATCCTGAAACCAGTCTCCTACTAAAGATGGTATGTCTGATCAAGCTATATATCAGAGTCATAGAATAGTATGGTTGGATGAGACCAAGAAGGCCATGGGGTCCAACCTGCTGCTGGTGCAGGGCACCAAGTCACACCATCCCACTCAGATAACTGTTGAAATGTCTCCAATGTGGAAGAGCTCTCTTGGCAACTGGTTCCACTGTCATATCGCTCTGACAGTTGGGACATTTTTCTTCATGTCTAGCCTGCACCCAGTGTACTGTAGTTTAAGTTCATTGTTCCATGCCTTACACTTTGGGATAAGTGAGAAGGGATGTTTTCTTTTCTCTCTGTGACAGCCTTAGAGGTACTTATAGAGTGCTATCATGTCCCCTCACGGTCTTCTTTTCTTGAGAATGAACAGGCTCAGTTCTTTCAGCCTCTCGTCATAGGACTTAGTTTCTAGGCATGGATCATATTTGTTGCCTTCCTCTGAAGCCTTTTCTAATATTTCTGCATCTTTTAAAAACCTGGGTGCCCTGAACTGAATACAATATTCCAGGTGAGGTTGGACTAGTGCAGAATAGAGGGAAATGAGTGCCTCTCTTTTCTAAAAGTGATACCTCAAGTCTATGCATCCCAAAATAGTGTTTGCCTTTTTGTGGCTGCATCACATTGCTGGCCCATCTTTAACTTGTTGTCACAACAAATCATTCCTAACAGTTGTTAAAAACCACAGAGGGTGGCTGTATGGAGGTTGAATTCTCCTGCCAGCCCTTGAAGAATCCAACCAAATCATTATCTCCAGGGGTGTCCGACCTGCGGCCCAACACAAAATTGTAAACTTACTTAAAACATTATGAGATATTTTTTTTGTGATTTTTTTTTTTTTTGGTAACTCAATTGTGTAGTTCTCAAGCATGAACTTGTAGATGACAACGTTGTGTCGTAATGTCACATAAAATAAATGTACATATGCTCTCGCTACTTGTATGCATGCATGACTTCACTTTTATGGTGGTGTGCAGCTTCCAGTGTGTTTATTCCAGTATCGTCCAAGTAAAGACAGTTGAATTGACACCATCAGACATTACATGTGCTCATGGTGATTTGATGAGTGAAACACAGCTATTATCAATAATATTTCAACCTACCACTGCAAACAACTTTATACATTTTGACATACTGGCTAAACACCATCCTGGGAACAGTGAAAAATATGCAGCCTTGCTTTTTGATTTGAAACAATAATTTGAAAACAGATTTCAAGATTTCCAGAAAAAATAAACATCATTTTGGTATATTTTGCAACTCCATTTTCAGTCGACATAAATGTTACCTGCCAATTTTCAAATAGAATGCATAGAGCTATAATCTGACATTCAAAGAAAAAATTGATCATGGACCTTTATAGGTCCTGTCTTCCCAGAGACAAATATCCCTCACTTCACAATCATGCCTTATTCATGTCTTCACTTTCTGGCAGCACATACATTTGTGAGCAACTATTTTCAAAAATGAAGCACACTAAAAGTAAAATTAGCACCAAAATATCTGATGAAAATCCTGAGAACTCTGAGAATTGCAACTACCTCCATCGAACCAAATGTCAAATTTTATGTTGCCCTCTTTTCTTTTACAATAAAAATATCAAAACATCAATGAAGTTTTATTACTTAGATATGTTCATTTTCTATATTAGTGTTCACAAACGTGGGACCGGCTTGACAATTTGAAAATACTCTCTGAACGGGGCAGCACATAATTAGGATTATTATGTGAGGACTTTTTTGCTTATCTATGGTGGTGTATATCACTTTAATTTTTTTGTTTGCTCACCAACTTTCATTAGTGTTTGTGTAGCCCAAGACACTTTTTCCAATGTAACCCAGGGAAGCCAAAAGCTTGGACACCCCTGACTTAGCAGCTACATGGTGAGATGCTAAATATCCACAAGAATAAAACACGTGAGTTTAGACCAGAGAAATTTGTACATAAAGATAGACCAAAATAAATGTATGGTCTTTGATAAAATGGCAAACAGGCTCAGATGGTCTGTTCACCCATCTCAACAGAACAAGTACATACATTATATTAAATTCACTTTCAAATCTAGCTGCTTGTAATGCCAAGAATTAAAACAGTGCAACTGCATTCAATTAATTAAGGGTATCCTTTCCAAATTGTACTATTGCTGTTAATACTTAAACATATTTAATAAATATTTACCAAAACCAAAACGGTGCTGTTTGGAGATGTTACGGTTTGTTTTTTTAATGACAACACGTATTTTTTTCATTCCTCTGTTTTTCCCAATTACAAGGATATGATTGTTTCTCTGTTTATTTAAGCAGAAGAAAGCACACGTCATCTAGAAACAAATGCCTGCACACAATCATCAATATATCCAAACTTCTTAAGGTGTTCTGAAAAAAGTCACAGGGTTAGTTGAGGTCTCTAAAACCTCTGCTTTTCATCATAAAAGTTGTTATAGCATTGAAAAACTCTCCTACAAGAGGAGAGTAAAGAACTGAGATTCCACATGTTTATTTTGTTATTTTCCCCACCAGTAGGGTAATTGAATTCACCACGGCCTGCCTGCTATGATAATTAAAGTCCCTTGAGGGGGTGCTTATTCATTAATTCCAGATGCACAGCCACACAGAAATACAGGAAGGAAGGGTACATGTGGCTTTCATATTTATGAAATCAAGCCAAGAGTGATTCACATAATAGGCACTCCTTTGATTTTGTAAAAATTCCAAAGTCAATATGCATTGTTGAGCATAAAGTGGCAATGATGAAAATTCCTGCTGGCCACTCTATCATTTTCTTAAAACCCTGAGATGCATTATTTAATTTATTTTGCATTGTTTAATTTCTTTCTTTCTTATTTGAAGTCAAACCACACGGAGCAAATTTTGAAATAATTTAATTATGTGGCTTATTTTAGGCTAAAAAGTCTACCTTATGTAACTTACAGGATCATCTGATGTTGGCCACTGAATGCAGTTACAGAACTAAGTGACTATTCTTGTTACCTGGTTAAGACATTTTGGCTTCCACAGGATGCATATCTATAGAAAATTTACAGTTAATGACATATGTACATCACAACTGGCTCCTGTTTGGGCAAATCCCAAGAGTTGCAATTGAATAATTAATTGTAATATTGGATACTTAAAGCAGTTTAGACCCAATGTGATATGACAGCAACACTTATTCTTCCAACACTTTCAGCACATGGCAACCACAAGAGAAATCTAACTTGAACACCTATAACTAAGTGCAGAATTTTGCAAGCTATGTTCACAGAGCTCAGTGAACCCTGCAAAACAACAAAATAATATTGAAGGCTCCTCATACATTATTGTATATATCATTTTGATGACATTGTTTTGAGAAGGCTAATGCAGAAAAGCTGTGTGTTGAGATTGCATTAAAAATATGGAAAAGCACCAGTAGATGGCACAAGAACAGTGTTGTATGAAGCTAGATCAAATGCCTATTATGTAGAGTTTAAGTAGCCATGCCTGTATGCTAATGATGTGCTTAAGAATTGTTTGAAATGTTTATTGTAGATCTTAGCTGGTTTTTTGTTTCTTATCGATTAGCCTTTGTTTTGTTAGTTGCCCAGACAGCACTACAGAAATACAGCCAGTTCATCATGATGATGGTGCTGGTGGGTGGATGGGTGGGTGTGTGTGTGTGTGTGACTACCACAGCACCAAGACTGTGAAACTTACACACCTGGAATTTTGGCATGCATACAATGAAGGCATGCACCTCAGGATTCCTTTGCGTTCTTTGATGCATTGACTGATTTGTATTAATTGAAATGTGGATGAAATGTGGATGAAACCTGAAGTAACATCTCCAGTCTCTAGGGGCAGACTTCCCTAACCACAGCTGTAAAGGTCTGAAAGCAAGGGGGAGTAGTAAGTTGGGGGACAGCGTATGGCTGCCTCCCCGCCACCCCTTTGCTTGGCCACTCTGGCTGGAACCTTACCATGTGATGTGGTTTCATTCAGATAGGGCAACAAGGCATCAAATGAAGAGATATTCCAACCTGTGGAAAGCATTTGCTTGTAAGTAGGAAAGCCTTCTTCGCAATGCACAAATAATGCATCCATAGTAACATGAATGTGGAGAGGAGCAGGGGCTTTTGCATTTCCAGGCATTCTACAGTGGCTATAACTAAATCATAAACAGGCAAACAAAGATGCTACAAAGAAAAGCTTGGTCTTCACTGGAAAATCAAATAGGTCTCTGTTCCTTAGAGTGTATACTCTCAGCATTGTTGAGAGTTGTGGGATTTTTCTGTCCAAACAGGCATAGGATGGCACCATAACTCTATCAGAATAAGTAGTATTTTCTTCAGAGAAAACATGTTTAGGATCTGAAAAATATTGAACACACAACGCTCTTTCTGTCCCACACACATACTTTTCCCTTTCTATGCCCACAGTATGTTTGTGATGGTGCCCCCATTCACTCACATCTCTCCTTCGATTCCAAATATGCTGAGTTTTATTGCTCAAAATCACAGTATCTATGGATGACCCACAAATGTATGGAAGAGGAGAGAGAGAAAAGGGGAAATATACCTTGTGGTCACCACTCAAGCGCTCTCTCTGAACTAAAGCAGCAAGGCAAGGCAAATTCCAGCAGAGGGAAAGAGTCTTAGTTGTGAACAAAAGCTCTTTCTTCCACGAGTGAAGCAAGGGAGAAAGAGAAGAGGAACCAAGCTAGGTGATGGTCATCAAAAGAAAGGGAAGCCCACCAGCACTGGTAGAACTTAATTCCACATAAGCCACTCTGGGAGCTTTTTGGCAGGACAGCAGTATATGAATACAATTGAAAATATTCATTCCTACTAAA